GCGGACAGGCCAAATATGATAGAAGCCCAGTAAGACTTCAATTTAATGTACCACCTGCAACCAAACCCTTTGAGATAATTCACATGGACCTCTTTACAGTTCAAAGTGAAAAATATGTAACTTTTATAGACGTTTTTACAAAATACGGACAAGCTTACCATTTACGCGACGGAACCGCTATTAGTATATTACAGGCCCTTCTACAATATTGTACCCATCACGGTGTTCCCCTAACAATAGTTACTGACAACAGAACAGAGTTCACCAACCAATTATTCTTAAAATTTACTAGACTCCATAACATAAATCACCATCGTATTTTAGCCCATTCTCCTAACGATAACGGTAATATTGAAAGGTTCCATTCGACCCTTTTGGAACATATTAGAATTTTAAAATTACAACATAAGGACGAGCCGGTCATCAATCTCATGCCTTACGCAATAATAGCCTACAATAGCTCAATACACAGTTTTACTAGATGTCGACCATTTGACTTATTAACGGGACACTTTGACCATAGAGACTGTCTTGACATCGACATAACCCAGAAACTACTAGAGCAGTATGTACAGACGCATAGGGATCAAATGAAAAAGGTGTACGAAATTATTAATAGCACGTCACTAGCCAATCGCACAGCCACTATAGAGAGTAGGAATAAGGACCGCGAACCGGAAATAGAATACACGCCACAGCAGCAAGTTTTTATTAAAAATCCATCTGCCGCCCGCCAGAAAACCGCACCACGTTATACTCAGGACACTGTATTAGCCGATTTACCCATTCATATATATACATCTAAAAAACGTGGTCCAGTAGCAAAATCACGGCTCAAGCGTATTCCTAAAGCAGTTAATTTGTTGCAGGATACTGCTAATAATGCTCCTTCAAAGGACCCAGACGACAGAGATAAAACTTGAAAGTCTATCAGACGGACCAGGACTACTACCATATAAACTAGGACCCACGAAATTGACTACTCATTACCATACATTTTTACAGTACGTACGACTCGATGACATTGAAGGTAATATCCACTCCCTACAGAATCAACTACTGACTTTCCAAAACAACTGACTAACGATACCTATTTACTATACGAAATCCAAATAGATTATCTGTCTAACAAACTTGGCAAGGTGTTAAGTCATCTCAGAACCCTAGAGCCCAATAGAGCTAAAAGAGGTCTTATAGATAGTCTTGGTTCAGTCATAAAAAGCATAACTGGTAACTTAGATTATACAGACGCGTTAAGATATAACGAGGCAATTAAAACCCTTAAGGATAATCAACTGAGCGTTGCATCCGAATTCGATCAACATCTCAGCTTAAGTAAAGAATGGATGTCTAAGCATAGTAATGCAATTATTGAGATAGCGGAAAATCAAAGAAAAATTAATGAGACTTTAATACTTATATTAAATAGTAATGCATATAGGGAAACTAGTTTAATTAAATACGCTAAATTCGCGCAATTGTTAGAAATAATTAGTGATAATGTAGAGTACTTAATGCTAGATTTAATTAGAATAGAAAACACTTTAGCTTTTATTCGTGCATCTAGCACGCACCATTCTATGATAGATATAGATGTATTAGGTTCCATGTTAAGTAAGCTTAGAAGTATTTACAGCTCAGATCAGATATTAAATTTGGAACTCAGAGACTATTATGACGTAATAAAACCCGGCTCATATTACACGGAGAAACAAATCGTGTTCATCTTTAAATTTCCTATAACTTCTAGAGATAATTTTGATTTATATAGATTATTCATTGTCCCAAATAAAAATTCACAGGCCCTTATCTCGACCTATCTCTTCACAGCAACTAACGAGTTATCATTCGTGTACATTGAGACAGAATGTCCGAAGTTTAACCACTGGTATCTCTGTGAGGAACGCACTACCTATCAGATTCGAACACAACCCGATTGCATCCAAGAGTTGATCACCAAGCAAGTCATACAAGAAGCCTGCAATCTTACTACTATCATCCTGTCAAAAGAAGCGATGGCAAAACTAGATGACCAGCATTATATCCTGTCCTTTCCACAGTATACTAAGGTACAATTGTCTTGTGGAAGAAAAGAATTCACTATGCTACAAGGTAGTTATCTCATTACGATTCCAGCCAGCTGTCTTCTTAAAACTGCCGAGTTCACCATCGTCAACGACAATAATGAGATAAAAGGTCAACCTCTAAAGCTCACTGGATTACCTTTCAGATCTCCGGAAAAAGCTACAGCATCTACCCGCGTCCACCTAAACTCAATCTATCTCCAAGGATTACACAACATCCAAGACAAAATTCTCATGCAATCACCAGTACAACTACATGCCATAAGTGACACATTATATCATACGACAATTCCCTTTTATATCATATTATCGAGTGGAGGTATCCTTATCTTTGTACTGGCCACCCGTCGCTACATATCAAGATGCAGAAAGGAAACGAGCAAAGCAGCGCATTCACCAACACCTAATTCAGAAGATCATGGAAACTCCGAAATTCCGGCAACATTTTCCATGAACATACTCAAATAGTTGCCGTTCTGAGGGTGGAGGAGTTACATAAACCTATGATATGAAGATCGCTGACTATGTACCTAGAACAATTGCTATGTAAACCGACAGGAATGCAGGCGCAGCAATTCAAGCCACGTGCCGGATGTATAAAATATCACGTACTCATTTACATCAGGCTCATTCTGTTAGATTAATTAGCTATAGTAACATAATTTGTAATTTTTATTTTAAATATATTTTATAAGTAAATTTGGTTCTTTTTCGAACCTCCGGCCGCAGCTAACGTAATTTACGCAACCCACGAACGTTTTGGTAATATATTCTTATCTCTTTTAAAATAGGTAAAACAGAGTACATTCGAAATTTTGTAAAAAAAATTAAAGTTAGGTTTGGAACTAAGGCAACTTGTCAAGTGTCTCTATGTTTCTGATGATTTTAAATTCGGAGTCTTCAGTCTTCCTCATGAAAATACGACCGCCTCTCACCCAGACATATTTATATCCTTTGTCCTTTGCCGCCTGTCTTGCTGCTGCATGGAGGGCCTTGTTGTGGGTGGAGAGATTTTCACATATAAAAATTGGAGTTTTAGCACCGGAAACACCTGCGTGAGAACTGTTTAATCTTTCTTGAGGCTTCGGTTTATTATATTTGATCGCTGCTGCCAAGAATTTGTCCCTCATACTCGGCGAGTTAAATTGCACTACAATAGACCTAGGGCGGCTGGAGTCTTTATTTAGTTTAGCAATACGGGTGTAGTGGACTAAGTGTTCCGTGGATACTTGACAATTTATTGTTTTGCCTAGTTCTGTTATGATGTGCAACAGGTTCTCATCTTTCCTCTCGGGCACACATTGGATCTTAATGTTATTCATTCTAGCATTTTGTTCCATTTGATTGAATCGATTAGACAAGTCCTCAACCTTTGACTGCAGTGCACCGTTTTCCGTCTCTAGGCGTTTTATTTTTTCATTGGCCTCTGCATGCTCCTTTGTGATAGACTCATATTTTGTATTCATGAAATTCATAGACTCCTTCATATCCACTATTTCCTCCTTCAAAGATTTTAGTTCAGTAAGTAGGATGACCGATATGGTGAAGCGCATTGTCTTTTGGAATTGAGTCACTACGTCCTTGATAATTTCTTGCATCTCGTCCCTTGTTATTAGCCTTTCATCTGAAACCTTTGGTTGGGAGTTCAGAGCTTGCCTCTTTCCCGGCCTCACAGTTATATTTGAATTGTAGCGAACCGGGGTGTTATCATTATTACCCATTTTTTGCGTTCCATGACATTGAGGGCACAGCCACGCAGACGTGGTAGGATCGTCTTCATTGCTTGATATTGACAGACATTCAAGTTGATAAAGTTTGGTGCATTCTGTATATTGCATATAGTTTTGGTCCCGCAGACCAATCGAGCAACACCCCCAGACAAGGTTTTTGTGTCCTTTTGCTGCCATGTTAACTTTCAATTTAAGATATTTCCAATAAAAAAGATAATAGAAAAGAAAAAAAATAAAAAGAGAAAAAAAGAAAAATCTTCCTTGTGATTCGTTCTTGGGTCTTCCCGAATCAAAGCGTAACGAGCTCTATCCACTACGCTGTCAGTACATTAGTCGTAACGGGCGAAAATAGCATATAGTTTGGTACACACCCGAAACACGCGATCACACTTATGAGATCAAAGTCTAGTCTTTTGTGTTCCACTATCAAAGTTATAACTTAAATGTCACAGTACCCTACACAAGATTCACTGAAACAATGTATTCACCCCTTTTCACTCCAAATTTTATTGTTTAAATTACACAAAATTACACTACACAAAAACACTCAGTCTGCTGAACGTTTTAGTATATAATTCTAATAAAAAAGGTAACTTTTTTCACCACTTTGGAATAAAAAGCTAAGAGCGCCAAGTAACACGTCTTTCTCATGTAAACACCCGAATATCTAATCGTTTTCTTTTTTCTTTTGTCCATGTATTGTATTGCATGTAAATATCTTTTTCTTTCGCTCAAGCAAGCCCAAACGATCGAAGACCACCGAAGACATGCAATTGCTAATATGTCATACAATCTATCTAGCAGTAGTATGCCTTCTGTGTGAACTTCTGTGAAACTGAAGAGTGTAGACAGATAATCCTAAATATGGCAAGTCCAAGATATGGCTTTGTCAGAAACCACTCGAGACCCTGATTAACTTCGTAATGATGATATCTGTAGTAGAACCAGAGTAACCGAAATAGCGCAAAAGATCAGTAAGCTGATGTGGCATTTATCCACCCATGTAGATTAAAGAATCGACAACAATGGGAAAGATTCCTTTTGCTTTTAGATAATTTAAAAAAGTAAATAAATAAAAATAAAAATCATATTCTGAAATGTATAACTCACATTTTCAAACAAGGTTGATTGTATGCAGATTAAAAAAATTAAAGCTGTACTTAATATAATATTCTACTCTGCTTACCCATTTTAGCATCATCATCCTCTCGAAGAAGTAATCAAGAGTGGTCGCTATAACTGCTCCGCCGTAGACGCTAGTGCCAAATATCGTCAACACTGAAATAACACATCAAAAAATTTATTGAAACACAACAGGAATTACCGATATTGGAACAAGTTCATAATCATACCGTTCTAATCATAATTTCATAAATCAAATTAAATTAAGAAATATTTATATATTAGGAATATTGTCATTCCTATTCAGGTGTAGGTATAGTTTATCATTGTCAATTTAAAAATATTAAAACTGGGCGATGTGAATCAATTTCTTTACTGAGTACACTTGGCGCAAGAATTAAATCATTTTAAGAACAATGAGGTTCTTAAAATGATTTAATTCTTGCGCCAAGTGAGAAAGAAAGATTACCTGCTATTTCTATTTTTTTGTTGTTAATTATTGTGTAACTTTAATTATTTTAAACTGTTTAAGTATTAGAATAACTTTCAATAAGTATTATTTGTAATTTACGTTAAATAAAAATGTTTCTCTTTCTATTAGGTTTTGCTTCGCAGAAATCTTTAAATAAATCTCAAAAATATGATATCATTAAAAATGTTTGGATTCCTATTCTTCGGTCTTCGCTCGCTCGCCACTGATGGCACTATAATATCTTAAACCTTTAACATTGCTCCCCTTCACGGGTCTCGGTAAGTATAGCTGTATCCCGTCAACTATGCTCTCTATCATGGATTATCTTAGGCCCTACAGTGTGAATATTTAGACCACTGTGGCTACAAATTTTCATGTGTGATGTGATTTCGACTATCAAAAAAAATCCTAATAATAACTTAGTTTAGTCTTTAGACTGTAAAGTTATACCTACAATCACTGTTTTTCACAGTGAAATTCAATCGGCAGTAATTTTATCGTCGTTAGAAAAGATTTTCTAACTACATTCCCTGCATAAATACAACGTTTCCCCCACCATAGGATTTCATCTTGAATCATGGAGGCGTTTCACATAAATAAATTTCACATGGGCCGAACCCGCTGCAGAAACAATTATTTACATCTACATATATACTTTCATGGTCCATCAGGATTGATTATAGCCAAGCACTGGCTAAAACTCCTGAGCTGTTGATGTTATTTCGTCATCTAATGCTTGGCTTTGGTATTAATTTTGGGGCAAAGATGACATGCATGATGGCCTAGTCTTATTTAAGTTTTCGTACTTTTTAAGTTCAAATTAGCCTTTATATTTTGAAGCAAAATATGATGTTACCAACTTGTCACAGAATACTTTGTAAGACAAAATTGTTTCAATGAGTACTAATACGTAAATATCAAACATAAATATACTGTATAAGATCAATAGAACTATTCACAGTATATACTATTACTAACAATACAAATTGTTTTCAGTATTAGTAATACTATTGTTCATATTGCTATTTTTTTAATGACTCATGAACAATATGCGGTCACAGTTACGTACTACTTAAATCATTTTTAAAATATCACGTCGAATAGTACCATATTTAAATAATTATGACAATTTGGATGAGGACAATACTGATAAAATCTTTTGCTTTTCTACGTTATTACAAAAACAAATTTCAATCAGATAAAAAGGCAGATGCTGGCAACCACCTGAAATTTCATTGGTACTACTGAAATCGAAAATGCGTTGCTTTCATAGTTTGTAACTCAGAGAGAGAATTCTGGACTACCAAGGCTGTCATATAGATATGTATATTATAAAGGTTTCAGGTTTTAAATAGCTCTTATGGCCCTCTTCTGCAAAATAAAAATAGTTACTAAATCAGCCGCATTTCCCCACAGCAAAATCCCAGAAAACATTATGCTATGGAAATAAGTGAAATAAACTAATCTAGCTGTCTCGACACTTATGTATTTTCTAAGACAGTCTTTCTCAAAGTGGGCGATAAGGCCCCCCTTGTGGGCGTTGGAGACCTAGAGGTGGGCGATAAGAGGCCCAGAAAAAATAGGGGACGTTTGCGTGGTATAGGGGGGCGATGGTTGATGTGCAATTTCAATAAGCTTCATAGCGTACCTACTTAAAAAACAAAATTCTAGATGTGCTTACTGTGCATTACGTTATACATCGACATTTGGTTTGGACTGTTTCAATCATTGCAACATGTCATTAGAGCAGTCAATAAAATCCGAAACAACTCTTTAAATGACAGAATATCTAATCAGCTTTTTGTTATTAATGATGAAGATTTCAACCGATTAATCTTTCACAAAGAAATGCGTTGTCTATCAAAAGGCAATTGTACGACTCGATATTATAATTTGTTTGCCTCTGTCGTAGAGTTCTTGGAAAACAAAAACGCAGAATTGCGCGACAACTTCATTACAAGAAAGATCGCATACCTGACAGACCTTTATAAATTTCTTAATGATATAAATCTCTAACTTAGGCGATGACTTAAACTTAATAAAAACAAAAAAAAATGTCGTCGCTGCTTTCGTAGCCGTGCTGCTCTTACACAAGAAGAGTATCGGCAGACGTGAGTTCCATAATTTTCGCAATTTATCAGTATCCCGCAAAAACAACGACTTGCTTATCATTAAAATATTCCAGGACATTTTGAAATTGGAAATACCAGACTGGGTGTTAGATCCTTTTTTAAATGTCAACATAGCAGTATTACCCCAACTGGAATAAAAACTTACAGAACCGACAACGAACGAAGAAATAAAAATCAAATTCAAAAATGGCTACCAAGAATTTTGGCTACAAGTCAATCCCGCAGTTGTAGCCTGGATAGTGGTCGATAGTTCAATGATTTTGATAGCATTCCCATAGTCATATTTGTGTGAATGTGGATTAAGCGCTGTGACAACGCTTCTTACTAAAAAAAGAAATCCTTTGTTATTTTTTTTTGTTTGTGTATGTTACCGAGCGCGGCGCCTTACGTCTGTTTTTGAGTAAAATCGAGCCTGATATCAACAAAGTTGTTAAAAATCATCAAATTCATCCATCTCATTATATTAGTTTTAAAACTAAAATGATTACCTATCTATATTGTTTCTTTTAATTTGATTAAAATATATTCTTAATATTATAAAGTTGCGTTTTAATTACTCTCACTGGCAATTATTTAAGTTTAGAATGTAAGTTTTAACACCAGAACCGACTAACACAGCACACCATAACTAAATTAATTAAAGTAATGAAATTGTGGTTTTTAAGTTTTAGCATTGTATAAAAAATTGAGGGCACTGAAAAATTATTGATTTTCAAAGGGAGCAGTAAAAGAAATAAGTTTGATAATCTCTGCTCTATCCTATAATATGATGATCACTTGATACACATAAAACTTACTCTTTCTAAGCATAACTCCCTTGTTTTATGATCTGTGTTCGGGAAATCACGAGAAAATCCGGCTCCCGTAATAAAACCTAGTTTAGAAGTCTGGACTAAATTTTGATAGAGACAAATTAATCCTGGTTCAAACCTCATTTTGAACTACCTTTTTGCAAAAAAGGTCTATTAAGTTTATGAACATTTAAACCATCTTACCTTTCTTCCAATACAAGTTGATGACAGCGAAGAAAATTCCCGAACCAAGTAACGCTACCACACACAACCAGTACTGTAACAAAATAAATAGACTAATTAATTATTTGTTTATTACTGACATCGAACAAACAATTTCTAAGTCGTCTGTATTTTTATTTGCAGGAACACTGCAAGCATGTGCAATAAGGGCTATTTTTTTAAGGCGATACTCGATAAACCTTGAGATACTGCGTTTTTCAGACTATTATCTCATTAGTTATGAGAAATAAACTACATCTAAAAGCACATTATTAATTTACGATATTCTATCATCACATTCCACGTTTTAATGTGTTTTTAAGTGTTATAAATACATTTATAATCAACTTTTAAAGAATGACTAAAATTATTGATTACATGCATCTGTTGCTAAAGGCAACATTATAATCATTTGATGTTTACACTAATGGATAGATAATTTAAAAATCTATATTATTCACGTTTTAAATTTCTTAAGTCCGCTTTTCTTTTTTAATTGAAATAATTCCAAAAATTTTGGCGTATTTCTTATGCTGCGGCTACACTAACGAGAAATGCCGTTAATTATCGCGTTGATGGACGTTGAATGCAGGTGTGGCCACGAATTAATTTGACAACGGCATTAACAAACAAATTAATTAAAATAAAAATAACAAATAACAGTTTTCCGTTTGGCCATAAGTCGAGTGGTGGTACATGAAAGGATTAACGCGCGAATTATCGCGAAGAAGCGGCCACACTACGTTTGTCTCATTACACACGGTAAGTGCAATGGGGTTGCACGTATGGCTGTGATGGAGTGGAGTAATAAAAAAGTTACAACGTTTCTCGAGATTTTGCAAACAGAGCCATGTTTGTGGGATCCGAGATTCCGAGACTTAAAAGTTTTAAAAATAGTACATCGCAAAATGATACTTGGCGACGAATTTTGCAACTGTTACCTTTTCAAACATCTATTGAAGAAATTAAAAAAGAAGAAGAAAAGCCTAATGGGTTATTATCCCATAACATTAAAGTCTTTGAAGTCCTGAGCTTACAAAGACTTATACAACTAATTGGTTCGCATTCGAAACGATGGATAGTTTCCTACGAGTCCCTCATTATAGTTGTATCAAGGAAGCAACATAAATGCATCGATCGAGCATTGATTGGCCAGAAAGGGAGCTAATTCTAATTTTTTTAAAACGCGGTACTCATGTACAATACAGAAATTCTCGATATCGTAGGGTTAATATTAAAATGTAAAAGAACCCAATAATAATACAAGTCGACCTTTAGGTAAAATTATGGCATTTATGCTTAGTATTATTACGATACTATGTACTATAAACTATGAAATAATGGTACAATTAGGATAATTATACTACGAAATCCGACCCTGGTTACGTCGTGTTTTGATATGACGTTTGTATTATGACAGACGCGCTACTTTTTCTTGTATGAAAAAGTTATGAGTAAAATATTTAGAAGGGCCTATCCTTCCTTTTGAAATCATTGTATATAATACGAAATAAGATGGTTCAAAGTGATCGTGGAACGAAAACCTCTGTTTTGTCATTGACTTGCGGGTCCGAGTATTACTAAACAGCATTGATGTTCGGCACGTTGCTGGTTTTTTGTATTTATTTGCAATTTTAATAAAATTGCATCAATGGTAAAATATAATCATATAATAAAAATGTACACACATCAAATATAGAGTAACTGCGTCAACGTCCATCTTGCTTGAAATTAAAGGAACATTTAACTTAAAAAACATTTAACGCCGTTCAACGGCATTGAGGTTGAAACGACGTTGACCGTTCAAGTGTAGCCACTCACTTTATCGCGTTAAATTTAAGGCAATAATTGTTGCGTTTATGGGCATTGACGTTTCTCGTTAGTGTAGGCGCAGCATTACGCGAAACATTGTAGCGAGAGCGCGTGAATTGTACAGGGCCGAACGCTCAAGGTCGTTCGCTAGGAGTAGCGCCTTAAGCTCTGCTGCTTAAGCGCCTAAGTTGGGACTGAGGTGAAGTTATTTGTTACGCAGATGGTCACAGAGTCATCATTGGGGCATGGAATACCGGAATAATTTCCATACCGGTATTGAAATTTCAATAACCGGTATACCGAAATTTCAGTATTATTTCGGTATTTTTAAATACTGTTAATAACTGTTTAAATGATTCCAATAATGATTGACAATTCTTGTTTGTGGAGAGCAATTAAAGCAGTTTTCTACGCTATATGGCAGAAATACTGAAACTATTTATGAACTCCCTAGAATTCACAAAATGAGTTATTAAAATAAAGGTAATTAAGAATAAAAAAGAAAACACATTATTTGATCTAACAATTGTTTATATTGTTTCATTGACACAAATATCACAATTGGTAATAAAACCAGTCTTACTCTCTAATGATAAAAAAAAACATTAACAATTTCAAATATCTCTCTCTCTCTCTCTCTCTCTTTCTCTCTCTATCTCTCTCTCTCTCAGTCACAGCTTATACTACGAATATGAATTATTGTTAAAACAAAATCAAATTTCAAATGAGAGTATCGAAAGTAATTATTCCAAAATAAATAAAAATGTAGGCGCAGAATTAATTTAACTCAAGTAGTCATGTCAAGCAGATCGCGTTTGTTAAAAAATCGAACGAAGAAACAACAACGTTGGACGCGTCTTTGACCTATGATCTTATTTTGTTACAAATGTAACCTGCAGCTGAAAAGGCCCTTTCTGATTCAACGCTCGTGGGAGGAATACTTAAGAGGTACTCGTAAGCTGCGTCCAAACACCTGCCTCTAGTACCTCCATTTTCATACAATGTCATTTCCATTCGAATTAATGTTTGAATATTATCTTCTTCTTCCTTGCCGATCTGGGATCTGTTTTGGTTTTTGGTCATAGTTTTTTCTATTGCTTTATTAAGTTCTTTTTCCATCACAGATGAAGTACTGCTACTAGTACTTATCTATGTCATCATTATCTACTTGTTTCCTTTTCAGCAGATGCATAGGCGGCAGCAAGTGAGCTCATCGCACTCCCGTTTTGTAAAGAGTTGAGTCTGTTCCTGCAATCGTTGAATAAGCTCAGTAATTGATGATACATTTCATCACAGCTCATTCTAGGAAACTCTGGATCGTTATCTTGGCGTGTCTCTGCATTTTCTTTAAAATATTCTTCCTGGTTATGAAGATACTGTAAAATTGCAGTCATAGGTTGTCGTCTTTCCAATATGCGCTTTCTTAGAGCTTCCGCCAGTGATTTAGATAAACTTGTTTTTTGGTTATCTAATTTTTGCATCATATATTTAAGGGCAGCTTCTGCAGTTAAAAGTGTCGCGTCTCGTCGGCAAAGTGCTTCCACTGTGATCTTGACTATTTTCAGGCTTTTTTGAATGGAATGCAGCAATTCAAACTAGAGTTTTTTCAATGCACGTCTTCAGTCGGTTAAATCTCTCTATCATGTTGGCTAAACTGGACCAACGAGTTTTGCAATCCAAAACTAAGGCCAGATCACGGCTTTCTTGCTCTCTTGCATAATTTTGTAATGCATCATTTTTTATTGGAGATCTCAAATTTTTTTTATCACAGAGCGCATGTTCTTTATCACACCACGATATTCCTGATTCAAACGTGGCGCCGAAGTTTTCAACAAATGTGAATATTTCATTGTCACCGTCTTCTTCTCACGAAAGATAAGCGTAGCAACTATGGCACATGTCTCTCTATGAAAGAAAATCTATGGAGGAGACCTTGTTCAAAAGTGAACAGATACAAATAAGGCTGCATATTCAAATATATAAAATATATATATATATATATATATATATATATATATATATATATATATATATATATATATAATTTATAAATCCAATATGAATAAAATGACAACACCATCAATGTAGTTGAAGTCAATTAAATACGCATTATTATGAATAACTCAAAAACTACCGATCAGATCTTTACCAAATATAAAGCACAGCACCAGCTTAATAATCATCAAAATCGGTTCACCTAGAAAAAGGTTCTGAAGTAACAAATATATAATATAAAATCAGTCGAACTAAGAACCTCCTCCTTTTTGAAGTCGATTGAAAATCAAATTAAATTTCCTATCTAAAACTATAAAACTAGTAATCAGGTCATTTATTAAATTATTAATGCAATATGTAACTACTTGTAATAATTCATCCATTACTCCTCAGTTATTTTTACAACTAAACTTGACGAATGAATCTTCTTTGTATCCAACTTAATTTAAGACAAAAATACATATAAACAAGGAGTAGACATATTATAATTACTAATAACTCTAGTTGTTCACCATTAACAAATCGCAATGCGTGCGCCTCATTTACATGTTAGCCAATCAAAACTTTCGCACCATTAGAAATATCACATTAACGCCAATGCAGTGGCGTACTTTAAAACATCAAAATAAGCTTAAAACAAATAAATAATGCTTCGAACCGAGTACATTAACTAAATTACTCGGCATTACGTGGCAGAGCCATGCTGCAGCTATATTATGGTTGCAGCACGAATGAGTCCGCTAGACATGTGCGAAGGACAACGGTCTCACAGAATACCAGGGTGAAAGAACAGCTTAATCTACTACCTACAGCTTAACCTACTGCTGTGTTTCGTCTAGTAAGTGTAAAGAACTGGAGAATCTTTTTTACTGAAAACGAGGCATTCCATCTTAGTCCTCAGGTATGACCACGCATCTGCATTTTGATTCCTAATCGAGGATCGATATAGAATTCAACGGGACACAGCATCTACTTACCATCTGGTGGACTGTGCGCTCGTTTCTCACTTTTATTCTATTATAAAAAAATTTAAACTAGTGTACAAAAGATTTCATGCGAACGTAGCTGCTTGCACAGTTAGTAACTTAATATGATTTATATAACTTAATATGATTTATATAACATAAATATGATTACGAATAGATGTAATCGCTCAGCAAGGACATCCTAAATTCGCATAGAACGCCACTACGAGTTCGAATCTAGGTGCCGACTATTACATTTTTGAAATCGCTTATCAGCTTATCCTGTACGCGATGTTTGATTAAGTCTTAGTTTCTGAGAAATCAATTTTTCAAGGACATATTAAGTGGCGGACTCTTTTAAATGTTATGTTATAGAAACAAAATTAAAAGGCCATTCATCACCTTCATCATTTTACAGACCATCATAAATTCACAGCTCAACATAGTCCACCTCCACACCTTGCATCATCTTAACACATGCATGTTCCCCCCTCATGTTTTCATTCACCGCCGCGCATGTGGTAAATCTGTACTCTAAATGAGAACTAGCAATTTCCGGCGGCTATTGAGCCCAGGTATACTGTGACAAGTACGGCTTGGGGCTAATCTTCCACCACCATGCACACATAATTTAGTAAACCGCTTTAATTGTATTAATGAATGAAATGAATATATAATATGTAACTATAGAGCGAACCTTAACCCGACTCACCTGTTTTAGATATAATATATTACCCAAAAATCTTTTAAGTTTTCTAAGACATCATATAGAAGTGAGGGATAAAATAACACTCTCGAATGGGCTACAGATAATATTACTAAAAATTATTATTAAAAGTAATTTATTAATGATAAGCGCTTTCAAATATTATTAATATAATTCTAAAGTATTAGCTATTTAGAAAATTGTTTAAGTCGTTATAAGTCGCCATTGCAAATTGGTTTTAAAAACTAAGTGACAAAAAATATTATTTTTTTATTGCCAAGTGTTATATTATATTATCTGCATATTAAGAATTAAAATTTTACAACAAACTTATGGTAAATTAATAGATTATTATCCATGCATTTAGATCCTATCATCATTAGAGCCCATCGAAGTCTACGGCTGACATAGGCCTCCCCCATAGATTGAGCCATATAGGGAATATTTGCCATAGTTACCTCGCTTGGCAAGTGGATATGCAACACAAGTTTTTTTTTATTATTAAGAGTTGTTATCAGAAAGATGCCGTCGCCATCTCGTGGTTTGTTTCAATCTGTTGCCGCTTACGACACCCACGGAACAATATAGTGCAGTGAATTTTCCTACCGCCACTACACGGTACTTACTACTAATCTTAACACGACACATCGAAAAAGTAGCTCCGGGCTATCGCCCTACTGATACGAGTGAATACATAATTTCTATAAAAACTTTAAAAAAAAAACGCCGTCTTAAGGTCTAAAATTGCGTAGCGCCCGCAACGATTTAAACCGCTTAGAAATTGTCAGAATCTTAAAATATTTTTCTTAATTATTGATTTAAATAATCAAAATAATGAGCAAGTAAATTATGAATATTGATGTTATGAATATATTTGAGTGATTCCCAAGGATATAAGATCAAGTAATTTCGTTGTAATTTCAACTATAGTAATTTTTAGAGGTATTTTTGCAAATAATTATGATCGAGTCAAAATGATACAATCGTGTTTTTGAACAAGCAAATTCAAGATAAAGACATGAATTTACCTATATCAAAATTGCACTTTCGTTAGTGGTGTCATAGTAATATACTATTCGTCATATACTATGTGTCGCCTTAACAGTAGTAGTAGAGTAATTCTGTATACTCACAATATTAGTAAAATGTTTACGCTATATAACGGGCGCCATATACTAACAAATCATAATACAAATATCGCGATGTCGAGATGATTGGCAATTTGGCGCACGCAGAGCGATGCAATTGACGCATCTATTATATTGTTGAATCCGCATGAGCGTGTTATCCCCGATCGTTCTATTTATTTAATAACATTCAATAATCTCTGAGATCACTGGGTATGCAACTTGCAACTGATGAATTATTTCTTACAAACAATAAATATATCACGTTACTAGGCTGCACTAAAAGTATCGGGAATGGAATATTTCCACTGTTCCTGTCATATTAAAATCTTTTTAAGAAAACTCCTTGGTTTTAAAAATCGAATACCATTTATTTATTTAAAAAAAGATTCTCGGTCTTATCAAACTTGTTCAGTCGTTGAGAAAATGGAATTGACTCGAGAAAATTCAAGAGCGATGATTTATTATGACTTTCGAAGTGGTTTAACACAAAAACAGTGTGTTGACCGGATGATTTCTGCATTTGGTGATGAAGCCCAATCCAAAACCACAATTTATCGCTGGTTTGCTGAATTTCAACGTGGACGTGTCAAGCTCAGTGATGATCCCCGTCAAGGTCGTCCAAAAACTGCAGTCACCCAAGAAAACGTTGATGCTGTGCGTAAGTTGATTGAGGAAGATCGACATGTGACATACCGTGAAATTCAGGCAACTTTAGACATTGGCATGAGTCAAATACAAATAATCTTGCATGAACAATTAAGTGTAAAAAAGTTGTTTTTTCGATGGATACCGCATTCGCTCTGTGAAGAGCAAAAAGCGGCTCGCGTTACTTGGTGCGTCAGAACTCTCGAAAGATTCCACGCAGGATCCTCAAATGCTGTATACAACATCGTATCAGGTGACGAATCCTGGATATACGCGTACGAACCCGAAATAAGAAACCAGTCACGAGTTTGGGTGTTCGAAAATGAGTTAAAGCCAACAAAAATTGTTCGTTCACGGAGTGTTGCAAAAATAATGGTGGTCACGTTTGTCTCCAAAACCGGCCATGTTACGAATATTCTTCTTGAGGGACAAAGAATGATTAATGCAGAATGATATGCTAGCATTTGTTTGCCACAGCTCGTTTCTGAACTTCGTAAAGAGAACTGCAACCGCCGCATCATCCTCCATCACGACAATGCGAGTTCTCACACCGCACACAGAACAAAAGTTTTTAGAGCAAGAAAACATAGAATTATTAGACCATCCGCCGTACAGCCCCGACCTAAGCCGTGTGTGTCAAATTTCGTGGAGAATACTTCGAAAAGCAATAAATACATTTTTAAATAGTAATGTTGAGTCACTTACTTGATTCACGAAATTTTCAGTGCCGCCCCCGTAAATCACCTCTCAATGTTGCAATTAACTAAATGATACTAGGGTTTCTTAAGTATAGCTTTTAGTTTTAAAAGAAATATGACAGTCTCACAAATTTGTTTTATCAATAACTGAGGGTTTCCAGTAAAAAGGTGTGGGGCTCTTTTCTTTTGTATGTCTGACTTAAATACTTAGTTACCCCTTTTTGACATTAAACAATAGTACAGTCAATGTTGTTACATACTTTAAGGCGTATGGACAATGCAAGTATAACAACAATCCCTAAAGGCAGTGTTTAGTGGCTAAAAGTCTCCACGTAACCACGCAGCCGGCTGCGTGGTATGCTATGAGCATTCACTGCCTCCCTCCCCCGTTACCGGAGGGTTGCCCTTAATTGCTTCGGGCGCAAAAAAGAACAACAATCTATAAGATATTATTTCATCTTAGTGTCCAGGGTCTACAATTTATACATAAACATGGAGTTGACTGTAGCTTACAGGAAGTGGCTACTTAGAACCAAGTGGATGGACTTTTTAGATTACATGTCATTCTAATGCTAAAGTAAAACTTAGTTTTTATATTATTGTGATTGTAAATGAAATATTTTGTGTTAAAAGCATGCTGTGTAATTTCAACAACACCATACATTGAATACTCTAATTGAATACTGGTTCTACGCTAAAATAATATTTGTACTTTATCGCGCTTAATTTAACTAGTTTTTACTTATTTTTCTTCTTGATGGTTCGGATGCTTAACAGCACACACGGTCACGTAGGAGATATAACATTTGTTTTGTTTGGATGTGAAGTATTCGTGTAAATATAACAAATTATCAAAATGTCGTAGATAGCAGTTATATATTAAACGAGGTATATATAAAGGATAGCAGCCTGTACATTTAACTAATATAAATCCACAAAAGTAAAAAACGAAATCAAATTGATGTTTATCATAAAATTACCGTTCTAAACTGGTCTTAGCAGAAGCATTTTGAGCTTACGAGTCATTAACAGAAATACAAATTATTTTAATAGCATTAATGTATGTAGTATGCTTTTATAACATCAAAAATGATTTAAGGATTAATAACTTATTTAGTTATACTTACTGATACAGGTCGGCTATCTAGAAAATGATCATATATCGCCAAACCAGCTATGGCTAACAGAAGTCCTGTGTGAAATCCAGTCATAAATAAGCCCACATATTGAATCAGCATTGTGATGAGTCCAAAGAGTAAACCTGCGCATAATGCTACACCTATGAACAATACAATCATTAGTTTTATCTTAGAGATGATATCAAATTAAACAAAGTCAGATTAATTACATACCAACATTCCCATACGGAGGCATAAGATATTCTTGTAAGCATATGAGGTATACAATGGCAGAGCCAAATGTAAAACCCGTTAAAAACATACTTGCTTTAAAGCACCTATAACCTGTAAAAATAACAGAATATACATGAACCCCTGTAATTTTAAATAGTCACATAAGTTCTAATATATAACAATACTAATACAAAGTATTTTTATTGAATTTTCAATAATGCCGAAAAACTAAATTTATTTACGAATTAGGTATTTTTATAAAAATATGTCAAAAATAATATCTAATAACGAACAAAGACCTTACCAAACAGAGTGTATACAATTCCAAAAATAATATACATTGCACTGATAACACTGATAATGGGATCATAATTATAGTCGATCGATGTGCAGAATGATCCCTCAATGTGGGGACCAGTAAATTTGATTGTCATGTTAGGTGGGCCTTTCGTCACCTGTGGCACTAACTGTCCTACTGACGACATCTTGAATCCTGATCCACTTAATTCACTTCTCACACACAATTCTGAAACAATGACACAATACTATTCAAGTGTATGTAGAAGGTATTACTTTCATAACAACTCAAAGCACTGATAACTACAACTTTTGCTAATCATACAATAATAATTTGCTTAAAAAATATTTATTCATACAATAATCCTGTAAATAAAAATACTTATTCCTTTGAGTTATTAAAATTAAAAATTTCAAATCTTTTTATATTTCATATCTTTATAATGTAAGCAGCTTTAGGTTGGCCCAAGAGGACCGCATCTATAAAGTAACACGGGCCGCCGCCGTAGCGGGGGAGTAGCCGTACGTACGCGTTCCCCTGTGTCAAAGTATAATTCCACATGGACCTATGCATACAATAAAACTAGTTGCAACGGCACTGCTCACAAGACTAAATTTAGTTGCGCGACTTAATCGACATCCTACAAAAATGCCGAATCGTTATAGTTTTAAATGTTTATTCAAATACGTTTTTGGTCTAATGTGAGCAAATGCGGCACCAAACTCCCTGACTCATGCCTAAATCATGGTTTTATATCTGACAAACACATTCTTCGGACATTTTCATAGCCTCTGTTGTCTCTTCCACTTTAATTTGGCGGTCGTCTAGCACCATTTGGTACACTTAATTGATGTTATCGCTTATCGTCAACAGTTGCAGTTTTTTTGACGTCCCAAATGTATATCTTCTCCTGATCTCTCAAACCACCTTCAAATTCAGCTGCCCAAAATTTCACTATGGTACATGATGGTGCATAGTCCAACTCATGTTTGATATGCGTCGGCGTGCCTTACAAAAACAAAAATTTTATGACAGCTCAATACTCATTTTTTTCCATTTTCACAAAAACACTCACATCGGCTTACTCAAATGACTATGCGCCCAAAATGGCTGAAATTTAGTTGTGTAATTGTCAAAAGATGCACAACTATGTTCATTTGCTTTTATTGATGAGTACTGCCATCTTCACATTGAGGTCAGAAAATTTCAGACCACCCTGCTAGTATAGTGTATTGTAGTGTATGGTTAGTCATAGTTGTAAAATAAATCTCAAATTTTGTCACTTCAAAAAATGTACAATACTAAATATAATTTTTCAGAGCCATCAATTATTATTTACTCTACCAGATGACAGACTATCATTTTACAATGCCATAGGTGCCACTCTCACTATTCTTGATTCATTGACATCTACATTTACAACATCAACTCCTTCACATGCAAGTTTCCTTTTAATAGTTAACTATAGATAATATTGAATAAAACTATTATTTACGGATTTTATCGCGTTGTGTGGTTGCGTTGTGGTTGCGCGGTGTGTGTATAAGCTCGTTTTGCGTAAATCGGACCAAAAATTAATACCAAAAAAACTGAAGGTAGTCGGACTAACTATGACATTGGGACGTCAAACATCTCAGTCCCCCCCGTGACCATGGGTGCTGTAAAGCACCCGAAACGTCGGGATAATAATAAAAATAAATTAAAGTAATTAAACGCGATAAAATCCGTAAATAATAGTTTTATTCAATGTGTAGTGTTCGCGTAAATTTAAGAAATCATTATATAGATAATATGTTTGATAAAGCTAAATAGGTACATACTTATCATATTTCTACTATTTTATTATTGAGAGTGAGTAAGCTGTATAGAAAGATGATAACATCATAATATTATAGCCTATTTGTTTTTGAGGTTCAGTCAAAGGAAACTTCTGAAAATTATAACTCTATTCCCACCATTGAACTTACACCAAGAAAAAAAGAAAAATGAAGCAACAGCTAATATGATCAGAAAAACAAGTTAAAAGGCTCCAAGCTAAAAACCTTTTCTTAAGAAAAAAAGTTGTTAGGTTGAACAAATTCTTCAGAATCTGAAATAAAGAAGAATCGATGGTTCTTGAAAAAATTGGGAGGGAAAAGAAACAGAACTTCACATGAAGAATTTGGCATTCAAGAAACGCCAACTTAAGAATTTTTTTAAAGTGGGTAGCTCTCATGAGCTAAGTATAAACCACAAAAATATACTGATACAAGAATTTCTTTCCTTATGAAAATAGCAAACCCACACAAAACCAGTGATGATAAAACTATCACTGGTTTTTAAAATTACACTAACATTAAGTTTATTTGTTAAATGGTATAGTAGTAATAAATAAAAACTTTATTATAAAATCCCTTTTTCATCATATAAACAGTTGTACCAGTGACGGTTGTATGCAACTTGTCAATGTTACCCTGTTATGAGTTATGACACAGAGTGTATATCTATGTGTGTGTGAAATGATGTATTATTTTAACTATTATTTATATGTATGTATATATATATATATATATATATTTCATTTCATTTTCATTTTCATAATATGTATGTATATATATATACATATATTTTGTTTCATAGTAAGATGAGAATTATTTTTGGTGAGTGAGTCTGAAAAAGTCTGCGTGGCGCAGATTTCCCCCCGCAAAATATGTCAGATAGTTTGGTATCGGAAAACAACACTATGGCAATTCCCCTCCTGTGATGCTCTATGACCACAGAATTAACCTACTGTCTAATTTATTAACCTACTGCCATTAATATTACAAGATTGATGTAATGTTTTATTCGATGCATTAGAAGTATTAGAGCATATTAAAAAAAAACATTTTTACTTTTTTATTCAATTGTCTAAAACTATTAAAAATATTTTTTATTATATTTACATCATACAATCATTGTATAAATAAGAAAAAACTGTTCAATTATCATTAGGGATGGGCCGAATATGGATTTCACCGAATACGAATATTCGGCTGAATATTCGGTTAAATTTTTACCGAACCGAATATTCGGCCGAAAATTATTCGGCAGGATAACCTCGGGACTTAACCAATTTATGTCAAAACTTGTTACCGTAAAGCTAGCAGGGTAGGGCGCTATTCCCGCGTGGATTAGCTCCGGACCCTGCCTCTCACTCCCAGCCACACATGACAGTTATTGCATCATCTAATACTGAGCAAATTACCGGCACATGCTTATGTTTTGACTATTCTTGTAATAAAAAAGTATTTCGTTGTTTTATTCTTAATTAAAGTTAAAGTTATAGCCTATATACGTCCCACTCCTGGTCACAGGCCTCCGCCCATTTCTGAGAGGGTTATAGGGCAAGGAATTGTCCACCACACTGCCCCAATATGCTTGTTGGCGAACTTCACATGTCTTCGAAATAATTTTTTTTCTTATTTCTCAGACATGCAGGTTTCCTCACGATGTTTTCAAATTTTTTGTAAATCAGCACTTAAAATTGCAATTAATAATTTCATTGGCGCCAGCGGAGATCGAACCCGGTTTGGTCGTGCACTGTGAAATTTACAGCGAGCGCTAACCATCTGAGCTAGTTTAGTTTAGTTTACGACGGGCTGTTTTCCGCAACTCCACGTCTAAGCGCGTATTTTGCGTGTGGGCAGGAATATGCTTATTCGAGCCATGATATCTCCCCGAAGAAGCTCAGCAGTCCCTTGATGTTGCAAGCAACTTCGGGGAGTGATCCCAGCGTGCCGAGATGTTTAGCCCTATATGAAGCGACTTCTGGACATGTCAGCAACACGTGAGCCCCTGTTTCTTCCTCTCCCATGCATGCCCTGCACAGGGAGCTGTCAGTAACACCTATGGTGAACAAATGTTTGTTAAAAGAGCCATGTCCTGTGATAGCACTTGTTACTATCCTGATCTGTGGCTATAATATCTGAGATATCTCTCTATGACCATCTGAGCTACCATGGCTCTTTATTCTTAGTGAATAAGGTAAAGAGCTGTAAGAATTTTATTCTTAGTGAAAATTGATAATTATATGATAAAAATAAGCGGCAGGAGATTTACTATTTGGACTTATTTTAAAGAAACTGACGACCAAAGTAAAGTGAAATGTACTAATGTAATGTAATGTTTCTTTGTTTGATTCCAAAAACATTTTATCAAGTTTCTATTTGCCATAATCGGAAATAAATCCACAGTGCCTCAAAAACATATATGTATAGATTTATGCATTTGAGGCACTCTGAGAGTAAGTAGATTTAACCCATAAATAAAATATACTTTCAACAGTAAAAGACATCGCATTACTCAATTCGTACATTTCAATACATTGGACACTATGAAAATGTTCAGTCCGAATGTTCGGTGATTTAGCCGAATATTCGGCCGAATATGATTATTCGGTAAACCTGCTGAATACCGAATATAAAACGAATATCTGGTACAAAACGAATATTCGGCCCATCTTTAATTATCATATGAATAGACACTTCTGATAACTATATCATACTTAACACAACCGTCCCCATACAGAATTTTTCTATAACTCCGATGTCCAAATTTTAATTCTTCATCAAATTGATTCAAAATTACCAATTTTGGATGGTTAACCCACATAAATAACTAATTATCCAGTTTTTCTTACCTTTTGACCATGTACTGTATTCGGTACACGGACTTATCGAGTTTAAATAGCATGTAAACTTAGCGCATACCGTGGACTTGTGAATATCTAGTTTATAAAAAACGAAATAATGAGACAATTACCACTCGAAAACCTGCATAATCCTTAAGTACATACACTGTTAGGATCCAATAGAAGCTCACATTTTTAGAACCCATTTGCAATGTTATGAGTATATCTATAAGAAGATGTTGCTTTGGGTGTTATAAATTGTTTTTTACATTGCAAGTTGTCTCCAATATTTTTTTGAAGTTTCTTTGCACAAACAAAGCCATTTTATTATTTTTTTAAGTACCCACACAGAAAAAAAGAAATGTTTTACGTTTTTTTTATTTATTGGTGCTCTGTTGACAAGTCCTGACAAATATAGCCAACTAACTCAGAAGTCCATGAAGTTAGAGCTCCAAGAAAGGCAGGGCGCGTATACCATTTACGGTACACGAACATGATGAACCCAAGCGGCATGTACTGTATTTGGTGCACTGGACAGCTAACGTGTTAACTAATAAGCATTTGTCATGAATTTCTTTGTATGAAAGTAATATGAGTTCAGATACCTATAAGCATCAATAAAAATATTTATTGCAATGCATACATGTTCAGTGGTGAATGAAAACATTGTGATGAAATCTGGATGTCTGAGAAATAAATAATTTTCAGAAAATGAGAAAGTCCACCACCATGCAATTCTAAAATAAATTATCAAGGCACAAATAATAGATCTTTTTCTGATGTTAAATTTAGTTGTTAAGTGTGATATCTTATCTGAAAACATACTTGAATTCATTTTTCAAGTCTTGATAATCTTATGAAAGAATAAATTGTCATGAAAACATAATACAACAAAAACTTCAAACATAATTCGATAGCTGGTACTTGAAAACAACAACCAGTTTTATGCTCTAAATTACTTTCTCTAGTACCTCACTATAATATAAAAAACCCAGCAATTGTTTTGTCACAGAAAACCAAAAATGTCTGTCATTTCATGAAATTATAAATAATGTTGCGTTAAAGCATTGAAAACTCACCATTGTGTCAACGTAGTAGCAACCTCATATTGTGAAGCACAGAAGCCTAAATTACTCCTAGTTGTGAAGAAAAGAATCCATACTAAATACACAGTATCGACCTACTCAAATTCAATGCTGTATTAATTTATGATAAAAGATCACAATAATTTACGGTACACAAAACTCCATCGACTACCTACTTACCTACTTTACAATGATTCAACAAAATAATTTATTTTTATAATTAATAACAAAGGTTTTCCTGTTTTCTTTTCTCTATTCCATAGACAATTTTTAGTTTCTGTAAAGGCAATGTGTTCTATGCTCATAAAGCCTATATATGAAGTATTTTCACAAAGTTAGTAGAAGAAAAAAGAAGTTCGGTAAAGTTTTTGGAAGATTTCGACATCAGCTCTGAGGACAAGTAATGACAATAATATCACAAATGCTTAAGCCGCTATTTTTTTTTAATTTTATATCACCATCGGAGCCACTATTACGATAAATTATTAATAATAATAATAATAATAAGGCGTAGGGAAGTGACGACCCCATCGCCCGCTAACGTAACAGTTATGTGATAAAACTACTACGTCGGCGCAGTCAGTCAGCGCCCTGCCAAGAGGTGTGAGCGCCGTGCCTAGGCAAAATTGTGGGTGCAAAGGTCCGTTTGTGCATATGACCGAACCACGAAACGGTGCCGGGCTTGGGCGTCTCCCGTTATTTGGCGCCCATAAATGGATGATGGTACAAAGAGGAACGCGCATAGGGCCGCTGCCTGGGGGTCGCCGGGGCGCGTCTGGAGTTGGCGCTGGACGCGGCAGCATGTGGGCCGCCAGCCGAGCGCGAGGAGTTGTACGATCACCTAGCAGCCCTCCGCATCCATCATCCCCACCAGAAGGCTTGGTGTCCGCTGGGTCTTCTCGGACTCAGCAAGCGGCACCCGTCGCTGGTGGATCACGTCGCATGCGTCGGTCACAAAAAATGAACGCAAACGCACTGCGGGCGTACTTTAGGGCAAAAGGGGAAGAAACCGGATGTTTGGCATATCGGGCTCGGATGCATCGCTTTTTTGTAGAGTTGGAGCCATCTTTATCCGTCACTGAACAAAACCTGGCAGACCGAGTTCGGTACATCCTGCGCTCCAACATATTTGGTGACGCCGAACTCGAACGACTACGACGTGAGGCTGTTCCCTCATCGGATGGAAATGCTACGGCTGGGAATGCGGCGCCACTAATTGCGCAGCAAACTGCAAATGTGGACGCTGCCGTCAATATTCCATTTGTGGTTGATTCAGACGATGATGGAATAGTCCCCCACGAACTAGAGAAAATGAGGAGCATATTGGAAGAGTCGATGCTGGAAACGTGCAGCATGCCTCTCGAAAATCGACCGCGACTTCCCCGCATACCCCTTAGCAAGCGAAATCGGGCTGTCGTGCGGGCTCTTAACCCAATGCTGGTGACCTATTTGGAAGCCAGCCGGGACCTTTGCGAGACGGACTCAATTCTTTTTGGCGCCGCACTGGCAGTATGCCGTATTATTGGCGCCAAACTTCCCATGTCTGGACGTGCTACTCAACAAGGCAGTGCCATCTTAGCCTGGAGAAAAAGAATCGAGGACCGTATCGCAAAAGTAAGGGCCCTTATCGGCAGACTGACAAGCTTCAGGTCGGGCCCAGGACCGGATCAGACTGACACTGTCGCATTTTGGCGTGGCCTGTGGTCAGAGCCCGTAAACCACAGCGAGGGCCCTTGGATGGAAGTTGTGGCGAGCCAGAGTGCAAGTGTTACGCCTGTGGAGCCCGTCACCATAACGCCTGAAGACGTGGCTGAGGCGGTCCGTAGGGCCCCGAACTGGAAAAGTCCGGGGCTCGATGGGCTGCATCATTACTGGCTGAAGGGGTTCGTAGTGTGTCACGCTGTGCTCGCCCGACAGTATCAAGAGGCTCTCGATCAGAAGTCGCTCTCGAGCCTCTTCACTACTGGGATCACTCACTTGGTTCCTAAAGATCAGGATACCACAGACCCTAGAAAATACCGCCCCATCACGTGTCTACCCACTTTATATAAGACACTGACATCCATTTTGAGCGCGAGAATCACTCGTCACCTGGAGCTAAATCAGGTGATGTCATGCGCTCAAAATGGATGTCGGGGCGGTGGTCGTGGAACCAAGGAACCACTCCTCATTGACGCGGTCATTGGCAAAGTGGTGAAACGCAACCGTCGGAACTTCTCCGCCGCCTGGATAGACTACAGAAAAGCATTCGACTCGGTGCCCCATACACGGCTAAAGAGGGTCCTCGAGCTGTACAAGATAGACTGTACAGTGACTGACTTCCTCGAGCAGTTTATGGGGCTTTGGAGTACGATCCTCTGTTATCTGGGCGAGCGTATGATGGCTGCGGAGAACCACATAAGGATAAGAAGGGGTATCTTCCAGGGCGATTGTCTGAGTCCAATCTGGTTCTGCCTCTCTCTGAACCCTCTCAGTACCTTACTGGAGGGCTCCGGGAGATGATTTCAGCTACGGAAGGGAGGAAGAAAAGTGACCCACCTTTTCTATATGGATAACCTCAAGTTATTCGCCTCCAGTCGCTCCCATCTTATGGAATTGCTAAACATCACTTGTGAATTTAGCAATTCTATTGGAATGGAGCTGGGGACGGATAAGTGTGCGGTCCTTCATGTTGAAAGGGGAAGGGTTGCTAACTCTGAGGGCATAGATTTATCTATGCCCGTCAACTTAAAGACCCTTTCCGAGGCTAAAACATACCGATACCTGGGTATGTCACAGAACATCGGTATCGATGAGGCTGGTATGAAACAGTCAGTTTGCGACGTGTTTTATGCACGCTTGACCAAAGTGCTTAACAGCCTTTTGCCCGGTGTGAATAAGACACACGCATATAACGGTTGGGTCATGCCTGTCCTCATATATACTCAGACCGAACTTAACGCCCTGGATAGAAAGGTCCACACTACCATGACGTCCCATAGGATGCATTATCCAAGATCGTCGGTAATGAGGCCGTACTTGCCGCGAAAGCATGGTGGGCGTGGTTTTCTGTGCGCGCTCACCATTCATAATCGCGAAGTGTGCGGCCTCCGTGATTACCTCCTGGCGAGATCGGATGATCCATTCTATAATGACGTCATTTCTAGTGATAAAGGGCTTACCCCTCTATCCTTAGCCAACGAGCAAGCAGGACCCAGCAGTGCTTAGCATTTCCGACCGGGAGACCGTATGGAAGGAGAAGGAGCTCCACGGGAGGTACTACAGGGCTCTTCATAAGCCCTTCGTAGATACAGTCGCCTCCCTCAACTGGCTACGTTTCGGTGACCTCTTCGGGGAAACCGAGGGTTTTTTCTGTGCAATACAGGATCAGGTTATTAAGACCAACAACTATCGGAGATACATCCTAAAGGATGGCACCGTCGACGTCTGTCGAGCTTGTCGCCATCCCGGTGAGTCACTTAGGCATGTCATCTCCGGTTGTTCGGCGCTTTCTAACTCTGAGTACTTGCACAGGCACAACCTAGTAGCCAGAATTCTACACCAGGAGCTCGCTCTGATACGGTCTCGTGGACCGGAAATTGCTGTATTACAAGTACTTTCCGGAAGCCGTGCTCGAAAATAACCGCGCCAGGCTCTACTGCGACCGGGCCATCATCACAGACAGGACTATTCTTGCGAATAAGCCTGATATTGTGCTGATGGACCGGGCACAGTCAAAGATATTTTTGGTCGATATTACCATCCCGTATGACGAGAACCTCGTGAAAGCCGAAAGAGATAAGCAATCAAAATATCTGGACCTGGCTCACGAGGTGACCGACATGTGGGGTGGTCTGCCGACCGAAATTATTCCTGTAGTCATCTCTGCGAATGGGCTAATCCCAGTTAGGCTCTCTGGTCATCTGAGGCGACTGGGACTCCGTGACGGACCGCTCCGGGCTCAAATGCAGAAAGCGGTGCTCCTTGATACCGCCCGCATCGTCCGCCGGTTTCTTTCCCTTTCCCCCTAACCCTTGGCCGTTTGGTCTCCCCTGCCGAGGGCTTCCATCTGGTTGGGCCTTTGTTTATTTATGCATTTTTGTATTTATTTTATTTTATTGATATTTATGTATATTTATCTATTCATTTTCATTTATAATTATATATTTATACATCCCAACCAGATGAGAAAACTATATAGATACCCCACATAATAATAATACTAATGGGATAATCCCAGTCAGCCTCTCGGGTCATCTTAAGCCACTGGAACTCCGTGACGGACCGGTCCAGGCTCAAATGCAGAAGCCGGTGCTCTTCGATACCGCCCGCATCGTCCGCCGGTTTCTTTCCCTTTCCTCCTAACCCTCGGCCGTTTGGTCTCCCCTGCCGAGGGCTTCCATCTGGTTGCTTTTATTTATTTATGTATTTTTGTATTTATTTTATTTTATTGATATTTATGTATATTTATCTTTTCATTTTCATTTATAATTATATATTTATACATCTCAACCAGATGAGAAAACTATATAGATACCCCACATAATAATAATAATACTAATGGGATAATCCCAGTCAGCCTCTCGGGTCATCTTAAGCCACTGGAACTCCGTGACGGACCGGTCCGGGCTCAAATGCAGAAGCCGGTGCTCCTCGATACCGCCCGCATCGTCCGCCGGTTTCTTTCCCTTTCCTCCTAACCCTCGGCCGTTTGGTCTCCCCTGCCGAGGGCTTCCATCTGGTTGCTTTTATTTATTTATGTATTTTTGTATTTATTTTATTTTATTGATATTTATGTATATTTATTGTATATTTTTTATTTTTATTTATAATTTATATTTATAGAACCCAACCAGATGAGAAAACTATATAGATACCCCACATAATAATACTAATAATAATCCCGTAAACCACAGCGAGGGCCCTTGGGCGGAAGATGTGGCGGATCAGTGTGCGGATATTACGCCCATGGACCCCGTCATCATAACGCCGGATGACGTACCTGACGCGGTCCGTAGGGCCCTAAACTGAAAATATCTGAGGCTTGACGGGCTGCATCACTACTGGCTGAAGGGGTTCATAGTGTGTCACGCTGTGCTCGCCCGACAGTTTCAAGAGGCTTTCAACCAAAAGTCGCTCCCAAGCCTCTTCACTACTGGAATCACTCATTTGGTTCCTAAAGACCAGGGTAGCACAGACCCGAGCAAATACCGCCCCATCACGTGTCTACCCACTATATACAAGACACTAACATCCATTTTGAGCGCGAGAATCACTCATCACTTGGACTCAAATCAGGTGATGTCGCGCGCTCAAAATGGATGTCGCGGCGGCGGTCGTGGAACCAAGAAACCACTCCTCATTGACGCGGTCATTGACAAAGTGGTGAAACGCAACCGTCGGAAGTTCTCCGCCGCCTGGATAGACTACAGAAAGGTATTTGACTCGGTGCTCCATACATGGCTAAAGAAGGTTCTCGAGCTGTACAAGATTGACTGTACATTTCGAGATTTCCTCGAGCAGTGTATGTGGCAATGGAGTATGATTCTCTGTCATCTAGGCGAGCGGATGACGGCTGCGTAAAGCCACATAAAGATAGGAAGGGTTATATTCCAGGGTGACTGTCTGAGTCCAATCTGGTTCTGCCTCTTTTTGAACCCTCTCAGTACTTTACTGGAGGGCTCCAGGAGGGGATTTCAGCTTCGGAAAGGAGATACAAAAGTGACCCACCTTTTCTATATGGATGACCTCAAATTTTTCGCCTCCAGTCGCTCCCATATTATGGATTGCTAACCATCACTTGTGAATTTAGCAATTCTATTGGAATGGAGCTGGGGACGGATAAGTGTGCGGTCCTCCATGTTGAAAGGGGAAGCTAACTCTCAGGTCATGGACTTATCTATGCCCGTTAATTTAAGGGCCCTTTCCGAGGCTGAAACATACCGATACCTGGGTATATCACAGAACATCGGTATCGATGAGGCTGGTATGAAACAGTCAGTTTGTGACGTGTTTTATGCATGCTTGACCAAAGTGCTTAACAGCCTTTTGTCCGGTGTGAATAAGACACACGCATATAACGGCTAGGTCATGCCTGTCCTCATGTACACCTTGGGCATAGGTGGACTCAGACTGAACTTAATGCCCTGGGTAGAAAAGTCCGCACTACCATGACGTCCCATAGGATGCATCATCCAAGATCGTCGGTAATGAGGCTGTACTTGCCGCGAAAGCATGGTAGGCGTGGCCCACTTATCATTCATAATCGCGAAGTGTGCAGCCTCCGACATTACTTCCTGGCGAGATCAGGTGATCCATTCTATAGGGGATTTCTAGTGATAAAAGGCTTACCCCTCTATTCTTAGCGAACGAGCAATGGCAGGACCCAGCAGTACATAGCATTTCCCACCGGGAGACCGTATAGAAGGAGAAGAAGGAGCTCCACGGGAGGTACTACAGGGCTCTACATGAGCTCTACGTAGATACAGCCGCCTCCCTCAACTGGCTAAGATTCGGTGACCTCTTCGGGGAAACCGAGGGTTTTGTCTGGGCAATACAGGATCAGGTTATTAAGACTAACAACTATCGGAGATACATCCTAAAGGATGGCGCCGTTGACGTCTGTCGAGCTTGTCGCCATCCTGGTCGGTCATCTCCGGTTGTTCGGTGCTTTCTATTTTTGAGTACTTGCACAGGCACAACCTAATAGCCAGAATTCTACATCAAGAGCTCACTCTGAAATACGGTCTTGTGGACCGGAAATTGCCGTACTACAAGTACTTGCCGGAAGCAGTGCTCAAAAATGACCGGGCCAGGCTCTACTGGGACCGGGCCGTCATCACAGATAGGACTATTCTTGCGAATAAGCCTGATATTGTGCTGATGGACCGGACACAGTCAAGGATATTTTTGGTTCACATTACCATTCCGTATGACGAGAACCTCGTGAAAGCCGAAACAGATAAACGAACAAAATATCTGGACCTGGCTCACTAGGTGACCGACATGTGGGGTGGTCTGCCAGCCGAAATTATTCCTGTAGTCGTCTCTGCGAATGGGCTAATCCCAGTCAGCCTCTCGGGTCATCTGAAGCCACTGGAACTCCGTGACGGACCGCTCCGGGCTCAAATGTAGAAGGCAGTGCTCCTCGATACCGCCCGCATCGTCCGCCGGTTTCTTTCCCTTTCCCCCTAACCCTCGGCCGTTTGGTCTCCCCTGCCGAGGGCTTCCATCTGGTTGGTCTATTATTTATTTATTTATGTTAGTATATTGAATATATATTTATGTATATTTATCATTTCCTTTTATATATTTATCCAGCCCAACCAGATGTGAATACTCTATCAATAACTCCCAAATAATAATAATAATTTATTTTATTTTGATAAACTGTACAATTTATTCCAATAAGTCTTAATTTAAAAATAGTCTACAATAACAGGCACATGAACTAGAATAAACCTGTATCTTAGGTGTATGTGCTAAAAGACATATTAACAAATATTTTCTGTTTCTTATATAAAATGAATAACATACTAACTAATACGGGTTATTTGGGTAAAGTATATTATCATTAATTTACTTATGATATTAAGTAACTTAAAACAATCAGCAACTTCTCCGTATCATCGTATGACAAATTTTGTAACCATGTTCGAATTACATTTTTACAGTCTGCCATTTTTAATGGATATATCTTCGATCGATTATATACTATATTCCTGATAAGCACTTCAAAAACAGCCAGAAAAATAAGACCACAAACACTTCTGTGGTCTTATTTCAAATGAGTATGGTCCAATCATTGCCAACGTTTAAACGTCGAAATGCCGCAGTGCGCGTTCAAAAACTGTACAAATAACCACCGTAACACCAATATTTTGGAAGGGATATCTTTTTTTCGGTAATTTTAAATCATTAAGTGTTTTTCATAAAATAAAAACAGAATTAAATAGCAAAAATAATTCAAATAACTAATATTGTGATTATTTGGCCAATGTAAAAACAACAACAACGCTACAACGCAACAACTATTGTAACCAACATCGACTGTTCTTGAACAAACATGCATGGAGTAGTATTGTTATTTAATATATATTATTTTTGTTTGTAGATTTCCTAGCGACCCATTTCGCTGTGCAGAATGGGTATCTATTGTCGCGAAAGAAAGAGTGGAAAAACTATACAAACCATCTAAAAATTTGAGAATATGTTCGATTCACGCAAAGGCACAGATTCCTAAAAACAGCGGTTCCCAAATTGCAGGTAATTATCACAAAGTATTAAAATTGTTAGTGTTAGATAATGCTTTTGGTAAAAAAGTAAGTTGTTTATGACTTTTTTTTAGATTCACGGATCAATAAAAGTTCTATCAGCTTTATGTTCAGAATTGACGAAAGATTTATCAAATCATGTCATTAAAAAAAATCTTTATCAGAGGAAAACTATATATGTAGGTATAATCAAATATACCTACATATATAGTTTAGTATATAATCAAATGTAACTATATACTTTAAAACTGTTTTCAATAAACCGCGAATGTTTCTTTACAGGCCAAATCTTCAAGAACTTTAATTTTTGAAGATACCACAGAAATACCTGACAACAACAATCAAACAATCGATTGATGATTCAATAATTTAACAAAAAATTTTGAAGTTGCAGAACTATTTAATGGAATGTACATTAAATTTTTTTATATTTTTATTTTATTTTACTTTTCAAAAAATATCCTCCAGGTGCTAGAAAATTTGCCTTAACGCTGCAGTTTTACTCGCCATCTGCTTACAAATATGTACGTAAAATGTTTAATACATGTTTACCCCACCCCCATACATTATATGAATGGTATCGAAGTGTAAATGCGGAACCTGGATTTTGCACCGGAACTTTAAATAGGCTTGAGGAAAAAGTAAAATCTAGTGATAAAATTATTTTATGTGTTTTGGTTGCTGATGAAATGTCTATTAGGAGGCAACAGATATGGACAGGTAAAAGCTATGAAGGCCTTGTAGATATGGGTTTAGGTAGCGACGACAGTAGTAGCTATGCTCGAACGACGTGTTCAAATATGCATGAAAACAGAACGTGTTATACGCAACGCCTTCGCATAAGTGGTGGCAAATCAATTAAAAAAATGTATGATAAACACTTTATATGTATTATTGTTTTAAACGCATATATTGAAAAGGATGTGTTTTCTGAGGGAAACGAACACAACCATAAAATAAGTTTGGTGAAACTAGTTATAGAAAAATTCATAGATCTTACATCTTACATTATACTTGTAAAAAAAAACCACTCAAATGAAAATTAATTCAAAAAGACAGCTTTATAACAAGCTGAATCTATTTATAGGTAATTAAACATATCTACATCACTACTTGAAATACTTTTGTATAATTTCTTGTACCTTCATTTTTTTCATCATCATCATCATCATTACAGCCCTTCATAAGTCCACTGCTGAACATAGGCCTCCCCCAAGTAATGCCACAAAGCGCGGTCCTGAGCCACCTGCATCCACCAACTTCCTGCATGTCTTACCAGGTCGTCACTCCATCTAGTGGGGGGTCGCCCTACACTACGCCTACCGGTACGAGGCTGCCATTCGAGAACCTTTCTTCCCCATCAGTTAATTTATTTTTTTACTTTGTATTAATAAAATACCGATTTTACTATCCAAAACTTTTTCGGAAGTCGGTGACTTTGTTTTTTATATTATTGACTTTTTTGACTTCCGAAAGAAAAGTTATTTTACACTTTTTTCTATTTGTTTTAGAAGTCGGTTGAAAATAGTACCTACTACTTAATCCTACTACCTTTATAAATCGGTCAAAAATATTTGCCACCATACAAAACGACCCTTGGCCTATAAATTTATATTCTGCAACTCTACGTATTTCATTACTAACTGTGTTCTTAGCATTGAAATGTGATACCAAGAACTACGTCTACTACCAAATAAGAGTAAGCGCGGAAATGTCAACAGAATGTTTTAACCTTATTACTTAAGAGTTTAAGTTTCA